TATATATATAATTTATTTTATAATATATATTTATATAATATAATTTTATTATTATACATACATATGTATAGTTTTACATATACGTGTGTGGGTGTGTGTATGTATACGTAGGCACTTTTATTCTAACTTACATCGCAAATACGGAAAATCATCGGCTTATACGGATCAATCCGTTAGGATCTCGAAGCAAGATCATCGCTCCTGCGTGAATAAATTCTGTTAGGTTGATAATGTTTGTCTATTGTCATGCGTTTGCTGTGTTATACTAACAGAAATAAATCTTTTTCTAGACACAGTGTGGTATTCATCGTCAGATGAATTTATATTTATATTTAAGATCGTCTCAAGTTTATTTTGAGAAGCTGTACGACTCGTTTTATTGGCTACGGAATATCTGAAGACGATGTTATATATGAGATCTGACTATGAATACCGACCATAGTCAATGAAATAAATCTTATTTCCATAGACATATGGAAATACGATCTTTTATTCTTTTCATATTATGTCAATGATCTTACCACATGACACATAAGAAATGAGGTTGTTTCCAGATCCATGATTTGTATTGAGACGCAACCTGCTCCTCCGCTGAATACTCAATGTTATTCAACATATAATTGATAATATCCGATATCCGCGGACTCATCAATATTCATATTGATTTTTTTTACCAAGGAAACATAGTGACGCGAAAAGTTCGTCGAGCAGATGGAAAATAAGTGTCGAGGAAGGAGAACAGACGGAGTGAAAACGGGAACGAGAGATGAAGTATCCGGGGAAAAGGAAGAAGGAGCAAAACGGGTGTCCGAATTTATATAGATTAACGACGAGGAAAGACACACCGAAGCCAGAACGACTTGGAGCTTCCTATCCTTAATACTCTACCTATGTACAACCCTTAACACACATTCTCTCAAACCTCGTAAATGCTAAAGCGACCCACAGCCTCAGTAAATGTACAAATATCCTCGACTTCGGCGTCTCCTATACGCAATATACACCCGAAAAGCGGCCCATACACGACGCAATTAATTATCGTCCCAAATATATTTTAGGATATGAATAATAATGAATAATAAGTGAGTTTTATAACATGATTAGAATTTATATTATGAGATTAACGATGATATTAATTATGCCAATGAATTGTATCGTATATAGGCCACTTTAGTCCGTCCACCGCGTATTGCGGTTAATAAAATAGAAGAACTAACAAGCTGTTCTCTTGATTCTCGCGAGCGTCATGTGGACGGCCTCATCACTCCCGATTCCATCGCAATGACTGACAGATTATTCAAGAATGCGCAGATTTCTTACAATCATATATTAGGGCGTTGATCCAAAGATCCAGTCTACCGACGACAATCGGAACATTGATGGATCAGAGTACATCCTCCCTCGTTCGCACAAGCGAGCGGATGACAGACCTTTCCTCTTAACATGTCTAATGCTGGTGCGTGGGACTATGGTGTTGCGACCACGCTGGCGGCGACGAGTGATTGAAGTTAACAGATATCGTGACCGGATGTAAAACGGTGTCGGGTCCGGTATCCGGAATGAAGCTCAGATGCGGTCTGATCAGGGACGCCTCGACCGTCAGCGGCACGTAGAAGGATCCGACGTCGTGCAGGGCGAAGATTGGCACCCCGTGGGACGACGAGGACGGTGGCTTGTCCAGCCCGGCGCCGTTCGACACTGGCGGCGAACACGATTTCACCCTCTCCGCCGAGAACCTCTGCTTGATCGAGCTCTTGAACTTGTAGTTGGTCGGCCGGTCCCGACAGGAGACGGTCCCGGTTCCGGGCGGTGTGCTGTGCGAGTGGGTGCTGTGATTGCTGTCGTCACTCACGATCATCGGCGGCGGCACGATCGCCGGTCGCAGCAGCGGACGTTCCGGGTCGCCGAACGAGCTCACGCCCGAGCTCGAGCCGTGGTCCGAGTGGCCGCCGTTGGGCTGACATATCGTCGGAATACTTGTGTGCGAGTAGCCGGCGCCGTTCATCGTACCGTTCATCACTGGCAGCTCGGTGTGCGGGAAGCCTAATCGGTCACCTGCAGCAAATTCGAGCGATTAATTACCGAAACTCCTCTCGAAGCATATCGGGAACTCTCGATCTCTTTGGGGAATAACCCGGACTTTATCAAATTGTATCGAAATTCTAAAACTTGACCGAATACCGGATGTAAGAATAAATCCGTAATCTTCGTGATAACATATAACTAACATTAACTAGCCAAAAGAGAACAGAAAGTCAAAATATCAATTTAACGTCATATTGATCAAATTTACGTCATTTTTTCGTCAATATGACATTACTGTGACTTTTCTGTTTTCTTGGGAAGTTGTACTATGAAAGTTAAATATTACTTCCTCTTTTCAAGACATTACAGTGAACTGATATCTATCGTCGTTTATCGTTATGAACAGATCGAGATGATTAAAGTACACTGTTATCGAAACAAAAGGGCTTTAAGCTGCTTATCTCTTTCGAAAGTTGAACAATACGTACTGGTGGCTACGATTTTGTCGCAGTGCTGCTGCAAATGATTGATGAGCTGTACGCAGAGGGCATCCCTCGCGAAAAAGCCCTCGACCTCGATGAGGAAGTGTATGGTCTCGCTCAGACACTCCTGAAATCCCAGCTTATAATGCTCCGCCGCGGTGGAAGCCGCAGTCGAATGTGACACGCTGTCCACGCTGTCCTCGGGATGCGTGTGCACCGGCGTCACAGGCGAGTGCTTGTTATCTAAGTAAAAAAACATCGCCAATTCTGATAATGATCGATGCCGCGAGTATAACTTGTGTTTGTCATTTTCAGGGAGCATCGCCGAGAGAACGCGTCTCTCTCTTATTCGCGGCCAGCAAACGAAGCGCAAAACTGTTGCATGTTATTGCCAACTCGCGGAAATACAATGCGCGATGTTGCATAAAATATATTCCCGAAATAATTCTGTTTGGGAGAATCGCGAGAAAGGATCGATTAAACGCTCGAGCTCTCACCTTGCCGGAGGCCTTGAAGATGCTTCATGTGGCGAATCGCCATCTCGATGATCTCCGTCTTTTCGACTCTGCCTCGACCCTTCTTCAAGTATTCCGCCGGTATGAGCCTGCTGAGGTCGGCCAGGCAATTGTTCATACGATCTCTTCTCCGCTTCTCGATGATCCTGTGTGACATCGGATCTTGCTGCAACAGAAACGAATACGATCCAATTACCTACCGAACCTTAATAATAACACCTTAGAGCTTTAAAATATTTAGCTTTGTCATGTACAATTATATAATATATAATCTGTCATTATTATTGTAAGGATCTTATTAATATGTAAACGAAGGAATATTATGCCGATGTTTTTTGTAATTTAAATATGTTTAAAACAATATAAATACTCCACAAAGTTTTGAAAAAAAAGTAATATATATGCCAAGGACTTTCTTTAAAAAAAAAACTGATTTTTTGCTTATCTCGCAGTAGTAATGGTCAAGATATGGTCAGACATCGGTATGCGCTTTATTCCCAATTACTTAATCTCTCATTAATTAACATGAAAGACATTTAAAATATCGACCTTCAACTTTTGCGAAGGTTTTTTATCCCATTAGAGTTACAACACGACAATAAAATGTGATCTGACGTTGAGCAATCTTTTACCGGGTCCACCCACGGGTATCTTGAAACAACGGAAAGAGAGAGAAATCGTAATTACGCTATCGCTCGCGAATTAAAACGCGTTATCGTCTTTAAAGGTCACGTCGCAATCCGCCGCTGGAGCTGATTATCTGTACGTGCCGCGTGTCACGATCTCGAGGCACGTATCGCGGTTAGTTAGGTAACCGCTTAATTCGCCGAAATGTTCATCTCTCACCGCGCGAATATGCGGAAAGATAACGTCGGACGGAGCAGTCACGAAGCAAACGTGGTGTAATGGAAAAATCTCGCGCGTTCGACGACAAAATTGCGCGCGACACGCGTGAGAACGCGTTCCCTAATCTTAATTTTCAAGACCGAGCTCTCTAATTGAATCAAATGAATTAAAACGCGCGTATACAACTGAATGCTACGAGTGAATGAACAGCGGCCATCAACAAAACCGGATCTTTCAAGAGCGATCGAAAATATTAAGTAATTTGCAATTCATTTTGTCTTACGACGTTTCAACCAAATCTCCATATTTGCGCTATTTATTTCGAAAATAGTATATTTTAAAATCTTTCGAAAGTTTTTATTTTTAAATTATTATCTAAAGTGCCATGTCACAGACGGATCTTATATAACTAAAATCTCGCTTCAAAAGCTCGAACCTCCACTTGAAAAATAAACAACATGTTTTACTCTTTCGAGATAATCACAATTTTGCTCTCTTAAAGATAATCGACGCAAACCACACTTCGAATGCTTTTATCTGTACAAAACGCCCGTTGGATTCGCTTCAAAACAAATTTTTACAAAAGAATGGAACGAGCGGTCTGTCTCGTATCTAATTATGCGTTTAAAATAGCGAACGGACAAAAGGCGACGTCACAATGACGCCCCGAGATTTGCGCTCATTTACGAGCGCGTATAGCATTCCAATCACGGTAACGTATAACGCTCGTTCCTGGCACGCGCCCAACACGGCGTTTTCCATGAAACTCATTCATGCGAAATTACGCAAGCGATCGGCGGCAATAAATCGGCGCATCCCGTCGTCGGCAACGGGAGCGGAATAGCAGAGGAAGAGCAGAACGACCTGAAAGGCCGTAAATCAAGATGAAAGGATGAAATAGCGGCTTCTCCGAGGATCGCATGTGGGGTAACCTTGGCCAACCTAGATCAAGCTTCTAAGGACGAATTAGAAGTTTTTGGTCAAAACTGGAGCAACCCTAGAAAACACGGCGATAGGACCAACCCTGTCCCAAACTCTTAAAAAAAAAAAAGCAAACTTTCTTTGGAACGAAATGTAACCAGACACTATCCTTCTCAAACTCGCACAGTTAATTAAATGTTACTGATAAAAGAGTCGGATCTAAATTAAATGGAAGAATGCATTCCGATAGCGTTCTAATTCTTCATCCCGCTGCGTATTCGTCTTTCTCGAGAGAGGGAAGGAACGGGATATATCGATTTCGCTCGGTCAGATTGGCGGAAGCGTATTCACCTCTTTATTCAAGCAACGTCTCTTCCTCGGCGGCGGCGAATGCACCGACGCATCGACGTGGCTGTTCGTCGGGTAGTATTGCATGTTCAGGATGTTATCCATACTATGCGTGACCATCCTGCCTCGAGTGGTAAAACACAGGAGAGAAGGGATACCTTCTTATTAAATCTTCTTCCACGAAATTTTCGGAAGCGACAATATCGATCCGCTTAAAGGTCTATATTGCCCTTGCCCTTTAAATATCTGCGATGGGCGCGATGCACGTGTGTACCATTCGAAAGTGAACTTCTATATCGGTGAATGTCGAAATCTATCACGCTGGCTACGATTCACTTTCGAAAAACCGCGAGGAAAACTCGACTCCGGAATTATCTCTTTACGGTCAACGGTTCCCACAAATGATTTGCACTGTATCAGGCAATTGCGCCGGAACACTTTTACAGCTTGTAGCAACAGCTGTTCCACATAGAAGATAAATTTCACCACGAAAAATGTTCGATTTTATAGTTTGTATCTTATAACTTGTATCGTTCGACACAATCATGTATATTGACAGCGTGTTTATTTAAGAGTATTACTACTCAAATTATTAAATTTTATATTAAAGTATAGTCCGACACGCGTTCGACAATATGGCAATTTATTGTCACTTTTATTTAAAGATATATGTAGTTTACATATAATTATACTTTGCATATAATTATATTTTTGAGAATTAAAAGCGCTGCGCGATTATTAAAACTCATTGAGGACGAGAGATTAGCCGGCCACTTAACACACTCGGGACGGGCGATGGCACTCGCTCTCGTTATCGAACAACAATATGCTGTGCGTGCTCGCGAATCGCAGGCGCGCCGACGACTACGAGCCGCAAGCGACGACACTCGCGTTTCTTCAGCCATGCCATCGGGAGGGAGACGTCACGTCGCATCGCATCGCGCCGCGCCGTGCCGCGCCGCGTCGACAACGGCGATGAGGAAGCATCACGTGTCGGAAACGCGATGCATTACGCCCAACACGTGAGGCAACACGCGTCTCTGCCGCGTCACGCCGCGCCGTGCGTCGGATCGAGCCGGGGGTCTTGCTGTTTCTGGCTTTGACACTACTGGGAGTCCCCCCCCGCGGAACCCCTTCCCCCGTATCTGATGGATGGTGCCGTTTGACCACTCCGAATTTTCCTCCTGATGCCGCGCGGACTTTCATGTAAAACCTTATCTTTCTCTGTCACAAGCTGACGCTTACGAATAATTTACGAATGTTTACAAACGACACTTCTAGGAAAGACTTTAACTTATTTAACATTTTACGAGTTCTGCGTAGTTCTGTGTGATATCAATGGATGCGTCAAAAAGAAATGTTATTTTTCTTGGAAAAATTTAACTATTTATTAAGATATTATTAATTATATTTAGTAATTAATTAACGGGACGTCTTAGAAAAGAATTAACTAGAATAATTTCTTCCAGACGTTATACTTGTAAATATTATACGTATGTGAAATTGTAATTTCGCTCATATTAATTACTTATTATATTACATAATTATTTTTATTATATTAATATATAATTATTTGTTATACTTTATTATAGCTTATTTGTATATTATAAAGGAGGGTAATTTTCAAATTTATTGGAGCAGGAGGTGATTATAGTTAATCAGTCAAAGAAATCATCATATGCATTTCGATGTAATTTATATTGCAAATTAGATTCTTACACGTATACATATCATATTACGCAAATCTGCGTAAACACGTTAATGGAATTAATTAATCTTAATATCCGTTTGTATTCACGTCTCTCTGATTGTATATTTAATTGTTACCTTTTCCCAGCATATCGACACATATTATAGTTCATTTAACAAAAACCGATAATTAATATTAATAAAATAAACCAGATGAGATGTGATTAATTATAATTAAATATTTAAAGGCGAAGGAACATTCAGTTAATTAATTATATACTTTAGTTTATCTAGAATAATATAGAAAGAATAATTAATATTTTCAAACAATTACTTACAAAGTTATGCAAAATTTACGCAGAAACAATCATCAAAGTGAAACCATTAGGGTAAATTCCCTTTTTCTAGTTAATTCTAGTAAATCAAATAAAAAAAATTAAGTAACTCTCACAGATAAAAACTGTGATAAAAAAAGCAAGATATAAAAATGTAAGTGTACAATTTATAAAATGAGTATAAAATGAGTAGCAATGTAAAAGAATAAAATATCAATCTGCATTATTAATTATATTTTAATTATGCGCCATTTTGAGTAATGGTTATCAATATTAATACTAATAATATGACAGATTAGAAGAACAACTTGTTGTATAATGTCTCATTAGTCATTACCTTGTGTCTTTTACCGTGCCTGCAAAAGAAGCAGCAGATTTCCTATCGATCGTCAATTTAGAATGTTACGTCTTGGATCTTCGACGTGAAAGTTGGCGAACCAAAGATAACGAACCTTGACATTACTGTCGTGCGACTTCGTTGCCGTTCATTGTTTCGTACATCGACATTGGCGGAATCAAATCTGAGACGGTGTTAAGGTCAACATTCTAAACTGAAAATTATTATACTACTTTTTCTAACCATTTTTATTGTTTTATCGCGATTTACATATCAGCGGAATTGTTAATTGGCTAAACATTGTGGACGTAAATAACGCCAAAAATTAAAAGCGACTCCGTTGAAGTTTCCATTTCAAATAAAATAGGCATATACGTATGTACAGGCTCTGGAGGAAGCGAGAGAAAGGAGGAAAAACACTGAGCTAAACTAAATATTTTGTAAAATTAAACTGTTACTTTAATCAACAAAAATTTACGAAATTTACGCCTTTCTAAGCTTGGCGCGAAATACGAGCTAGACGTCTCTTATTAACTCAATGTACAACAACGTTAAATATTTCTCTGATTAAACATTAACAATATCGGTAACATTAACCGAGATGATGTCATTACGCCTTTGCAAGCACGACATCATTAAAATTTAGAAAGTTGTAAACGACATGACGGCACAGATTTAATTGCATTACTTTATGATTTATTTACTGTCTTACGTTGTAAAAGCGTCATTACATTCCCCATGAATCAGTCCTTCCACTTGCTTTCGACTGTCGTGTGTCATGTGACACGTTTCTCACGTTTGCTATCTATCGGACGTCCGAAGTCCACGGAGATAGATCGTAGGATTTCCCGGTAAAAAGTTCCAACAACCTTTATCTAATTTTATAAAAATTGGTTTACTTAGACATTCTTATCTCCGTCGCTCAATTTATCGATCGAGAGCTAAATTAGACATCTGCTAAAATAAGATGCACACGAAATTAATGAAGAAACGCGCTATCATTATCTAAATTTCTAAATAAAGAGAATCTGTGATGTCATTTAATTTAGAACACGCTATATATATTTCAGTTAAAAATTATTTATCGAAGAACTGAGGTCGATACGATGAGCACATATAAACAGAAGATGCTTGTTCCTTAATTAATTAATAAAAGATAGTCTCCGCGGCATGAGTTTGCTTTCTCCAAATCTGACGTAAATTTTTTCCCGCAGTCCTTCCGCGAAATAAACGAATTCGTTCTATCCTTATTACATGTGCGAAAGCACACAAAACAGCGTAGCGAAATGTTGTTCAGTTATCTTTCCTGCTAATCTCCACCAACGCCAGTTATCGTCATTTCAGTTACAAAGTCTGATGTGATATAATAAATGCGGATAAACACATAACAACATTTGCGATTATGATTTTAATAATCGAGTACGTGATATGAATTCAGAATTATCGCAATGTCTCTCTAGAATTAACCGCTGTAAAATATCATCAACACGCTCCGCTGTCATTATTCACTCTCATTTGCATTACAATTAGAGACTAAAAAAATGAAAAAAATAAAGATAAACAACAAACTCGAATATGTAATTGAACGGGCCGTGGAAAAATACGAATAATTAAAAAGCTGTAAATATTTACAAACAGTTTTTCGTTTCGATCGTATCGCATCGAATTATCACATCTTGATTAATATAATCATCGTACAAATCGCATGTTACGTAAAAATTGTAAGATATACTTTAAGATACAATTCAAATAAATTGTAATTTAACAATATCGCCAATTATCGAGTTCGCTCATTAAATTATAAATCTGCAAACGCAAACAACCGCGAAGCCGAGATAAGCCCAGTGATACAGGACGCTGAGGCGTGTTCGGGAGAACGGCGGGCAGTTATTTGCACATTGACCGGCGTTCGCCTCGAAACAGTGAGAAGAAGTCGACAGAAGAAATCCGACGACGACGACGACGACGACGGAGGAAAAAAAGCGGCGCGAGAACCGCTTTAACGGGGTCGAGTTATCGACATGCCGGATATAACCGGTACTCGGTGATCTCTGCGCGCTCTCGGCATGAAAGCTCGCATTATGACCGAGGGTTTATCGTGCGCGCTGACCGCGGTGGTCCAGCCAGTGTTTTTCAAACGATAACCGGGCATCACCGGATCCCAGCATCTCGGCGACAACAACCGCGGCCGAAGCCTCTTATCGCATCAGCCCGCCTCGTGCGCAAATCTACTTTTGTTTCGACGATCGCCGATACGTCGTTATCCATCTTCGAACGTAATTCAAACGTTGGGGAGTGCGAGATAGTGTTTTACTTTGTAATCTTATGTGTAATACGAAAAACACTTGAATCAGAATACACGCATATATAAAGTATATATTACACATCAAAATACATTACGTAAATAATTACAAGTAAAAACAAAATTATAAATCTTCTAAGTGGGTCTTAAGACAGAATTTAATTTATGATTTTACGTGCTGTGTAATAATGAAAAACAATCGGAGGATTAGAATACATATATGAAACATATATACAAATACGTATATATGAAACAATATATATATATATATATATATATATATATATATATATCAAACTACATGTTTCAAAATATAAAACGTGTAAAATTATAAATAGAATATTTCCCTGAAATCTGACACGAATTATACACAATCATTTAACGTCTTTAACCCAGCATTATTAAAATAAAATATGACAAACAAAAACAAAACTTAATTTAAAATATTCTAGGAATTTTAATTATTACGATTTAAGTTCTCAAATCAAGATTTTATACTTAAAAATTGTGTGTGCTACATATTTCAACTTTAATATAACGACGGGATAAATGCTGCTGTCATACCTCAACACTCTAGCATCTCCAAATGAGTGTTACGCATATAGAATTGTGTCGTATAAAATCTGACTTGGTCCTGAAAGAGCTGCCAAGTTTTCGGGAGATTGAATTATAACACGCACATCAAATGTACAGAAAATGTACTCTTAGACGCGTTTAGAGAGCAATTTCTCTCATTTTTTTTTTTCGAAATAGATTGCTGAAAATTCAACGAGCAGCTTATTACGTTATTAAATAAAATACTATCAGCATGACGCACACAAGTGAACGATGTAAATATCATCCGAAGAAAATCCAACCCTCTTATGCAAATTGACACATGGCGCTGGCGCCGCGTCTATATTTAGACGCAAAAAATGAATTCTTCGACGCATCGTGCCGAAGCAAGTGCAGATCGACGACACGCAAAGTTGGCAAAAAAAAAAAGCCTTCGTAACTTCGCGCCCGGTGACGCCGATACGCGGTTACCGCGGCACTCGCCTGTTACTTCCATCCGCTACTTACCCCCTCGCAAAAACTCTGCGCATTTCTTTCTCATCGAAATTATTACGAGGAACGTGCGCGGATTTACGATCTCGTCGTGGATATAATTTGTGTCGCGCCCCAGATAAGCGGATGGCGTTTCCCGTTTCCTTCGGCCGTCGGGTATTTTTGCCCGTC